GATTAAAAAAAACATTCGTTTAACAACTTTTTTTTAACCGTAGGAATCCCAAAAGTTTTCTATACCCAAAGACTAATCTCACGAGGTTTTGTGTTCAGAAATATTTCAAATTTAAACCGCGGCTAAATGGCCAAGGCAACTCAAACCCAAAATTTTACCACTGGACCAAGGCTACTCAGTACGTTTAACAATTTTTCTTACGCCAAAATTGCATTTATTCGAGAAATTAGCATCATTTATTAAGTTACAAACGAAAATAAAATAAAATATATGGCATATGAAAATTAAAACTAGAAGAAACTCTTCAATGATACCCAATCGGGGATGGAGCTTCCTTCAGCTCACGACCTTGATAATGAATATCCTGTTTCAATCATCCATAACGTTTTAAATTCATCTTTATATAATAAACATATAACATCAATATATATCGATCAAAATTTAATATTAAACACTTACGGATGCATAATGGTTCACGTCACGGTGATGCGCTTCATCAGCACGGACCACCATAACAACATCACGAAGCGTTGCGTTCGCTTCGAGTCTCCAGTAATCAATTGCGATGGCCGGTGCAGGAACGTTTTCGATGTTACCGTTATCGAGTTCTTTGAGGAATTCAGTGTAAGAGTGAATTGCTTCTTCCTCAAGGTAACCAACCATACGGTGAGCAAATTTGGGTGAGATCAAGTAACCGAGGAAATAAGCATTGAAGAAAACGCCTTGCACCGCGATCACAAGAGCTCGTTCGTACCAATTTGGTTTCGCGACTTCCATGAATGTCATCAAGTGCATTCTCTCGTTCTCTGCTTCTTCAAGTAAGGCTTTGATCCAACCGCCACTTTGTTCAAACCGCCTCAGCGATTTGCAGTGTACTAACATCCCTCCAACCATTCCTGGAACCGCTGCAACCGTTTCCAGCATCATCGCTCTGCACCCGTACCGCCTCTGTGTTAAATTAATCGAATTAGTCCAAAACAATATCATTAATTTTCACAATGAGAGATAAATGAAGATTTGGTGACATAAACTAAGAGTGTTTTGTTTTGTATTTGTGTTTATTACATGTCACAATAATATGTTTTTCTCTCAAATTAATAAAAACCACAATCTTTAGTATTTTTTCTAGAAAATGGTTAGTCGTGAACACAAAATTGTTACCCAAGAAAGTTTTCGTTTGCATTGCGGTCTCAATTTGCGTTTGAAACAATTGTATCGTACCTGGAAGAACAAATCGGTAGGCCATCGAAGTGATTTGACCGTCCAATAAGCTAATTTGTCCGATAAAGTAGATGGAACATGGTGCTTCTTCAAATCTATAGTTAGATCTGCTTTATACGTCTCCCATGGCTACCATTATTCCT